GATGAATCTGGAAACCATCATTCTCAGCAAACTGACACAAGAACAGAAAACCAAACACCACATGTTCTCACTCATAGGCGAGTGTTGAACAATAAGAACACATGGGCACAGGAAGGGGAACATCACACACTGGGATTGGATAATGGGGAAATAGGGGAAGGACAGTAGGGGGCAGGGAGGTTGGGGAGGGATAACACTGGGAGAAATGCCTAATGTATGTGATGGGGGTATAGATACAGCAAACCACCATGGCATGTGTGTACCTATGCAACAATCCTGCAAGATCTGTACATGTACCCCAGAACTTAAAGTATAATTTAAAAAGTCTTGCATTAAAAGTAAATCAATATTTTTAATAAAATCTTGTTTTAACCAATTTTTAGTGTTGTATTAGTGTATTTTAATATCAAAGTCTAATTTCTAGAAAGACTATTAAAATTTCCTTTCAACTATGGTGAACTTAATCATAAGCTTTAAATTTTTTTGTGCTAATCTTGTGACTTACACAGACCATTTGACATGCTTGACCTTTCTTGTTTGTCTTAAACATCCTTCTTTGTTAAACAACTAGATATTTTATTTTAAGACAAAAGTTTACCATACAAGATGATTTCGCAACAAAAATGTTTTTTTAACTTTTTACCAAAAATATCTCTTAATATCTATAACTTTCTTTAAGTCTCTCATTTCCTTGTTCCTTTTACCTTATTTTGAATATAACCTTTAAATAATCTTTGGATTAGACAAACATTATTTACCTTTCAATAACAATACATTTAAAATAGTTTTTATCATTTTTCAAACTGAAAGTTACCCAGTTAATGAATACCCATTATTAAATATATATAACTTCAGATTCTAAATTTTTATGATGTTTGTTTACAAACATTTACTCTATTACATTTACCTCATTCATTTATTTAATAGTTCACCTAGAGTATTTATAAAAACTGTGATAGTCATCATTTAAAATTATTTTTCTGTTAACCATTTTTATAGCCTATGATTTTCAGGTGTTTATGCAAGAACTAAACCTAAGACTAACTATGTGGGTATTTTACCAATAATTCAGTATTTAGCTGTTTTAATCAAACCAACAATATCAAACGTCTTAATTATCAAAAATTACACAAGCCAAGATTATTCTTTTGGGGAGCTGGCTTTACAGTTTTATAACACTTATGCAAAATTTTGACACCTTATAATATTTGCCAGGTATAAGTATGAACCCATTTGACCAATAAACAGAAACAAAAATACTACAAATCTAATTCTAATATTACTTTTACAAGAATTTTAAAGCCAGTTTATTTATTAAAGATTTTACTTAAGTCATATGAACTTGAAAACCATGTGGGCTTATTATTTACTTAATTTATGAGTACTCTTAAGCCAATTTGGTACCTTGTGGCCACTATCCATAACAAAATACATGCAACTACATGTAAACATACACATGCACATTCATAGAAAAATCCTGTATCTTTTATTTCAGAACTCTAGGCATAAGATATTAATACAAACTCACTGGTTTACAAAAATAGAAGAAGATTGGATCTAAACAGTGGTTTTTGTCTCAGTAGAAAAGTAACAGCAGATTTAAAGCAGGCAGAAAAGAAAATAGACAAGTAGAGAACTTAGGAACTCTAGAGTTGCAGGTTGACCTTTGGGCTATGAATTTTTATTTGATGTAATTTGCTCATTAGATCAAAATATGCAAAACAGACCATAATATATAACTAGTTGGAGTACTAGAAAACCTGGCATGCCCTCAAACTTTTTCATTTTACACAAACATTTGCAAGGAGAGGCACCATATAATTAACAGGGTGCCCCAAAGTTAGTCTTTCTCCCTGTCTTTCCTCATTTTTAGATTGTTTCCACTTTTTTTCTTAAAAGGAGGAATTGAGCTGTGGCCTAGGGCTTTTTGTGTGGTAGATCACTGTGTGCTGATCGTGGATGAGACTATGCAGTGTTTTACCAGAGTCATTTTCACCCTTTTAACATGTCTCAGTTTCTTGCTCCAGAGGTCTGTCACCTCTGAGAGGGCTAAAAATGCCAACTGATCAGCTCTATATGCATTGCTTGATTGAGTCTTTTAAAACTAATTTTGTTGAAGGTTCCCTGTAGGGCCACCGCATGGCAAAGTGGGTTAACCACCCAGACATTCCCACTCAGCCCCCAGTCATGCAGAGCCAGCTTGCAGCTGGGAGTAACAAAATGTCTTTTCTCTTCAGAACTGAGGAGTTAAGTCTCTCATTTATCTATGAAAATGACAGTTTATGTTTCTCACACAAATGCACAGACAAGTCAATTGAGATTCATTTTGGGAGATAAAATAATGGCGAAGACAGTTTAGAATATACCTCCAAAGTGGAAACCCAATGGGGTCCTCAAAAGGAGGGTGTTCTCCTTGGCTTTAGAAAAAGGCAATGGAGAAGAAAAAGGCAATGGAGAAGACCCTTTAAAATCCACCTCTGAACTAGAATTAGTATCCTAAACAACAACTTCCAAGGAGAAAAAACAAAAAACAAAACAAGAACTTTTAAACTCTTTTGTAATAACGCTTAGCTTAAAACACAAACATATAGTATAGCTACACCAAAGTATTTTATTTCTTTATGTCCTTAATTTATAAGCATTTTTGCACTTACAGTTTTTATATACTGTTTAAACTTTTTGTTAAAAACTAAAATACAAACACACACGTTAGCCTAGGCCTACTCAGGGTCAGAGTCATCAGTATATCCGTCTTCCATCTCCACACCTTGTACCACCGGAAGGTCTTCCATATCAAATTATATTCCTTTATGAAATATATTTGTGATTACTATAAATATATTTGAATTTTATTTTCTAATTGCTTTTGTTGGCTTACATAAATTTAAATGCTTTTGTATATTAGTCTATTAACAGTTTTACCAAACTCTCTTATTATTTCTGGCAGTTTATTGATTTTCTTGGATTTTATATGACAAATCATGTTTTCCATTAAAAAAAATGCAAGTTTTGTTCTTTCTTTGAATCTTTATATTCATTATTTATTTCACAAATATCAACAGTTTATTCATTTCTCCAGTGCAATGTTGAGCATAAGCTGTAATGGTGAACACACCATTCTATAATTCTTGAATTTAAAGACAATGTTTCACCATTGTGTATGTTTGTTTTCGATTATTTTCATTGGTCCTCATTGCCAGGTTATAAAAATTTTCTCTTTTCCTTATTTTGCCGAGTTTTCAACTTGAATAAATGTTAACTTTAACAATTTTTTCCCGCATCACTTGAAATAATGCTATTTCTTTCTTTTTAATGTCTTAATGTTATAAACTATATCAAAAGGCTTCTAATATAACACAGCTACACTGTAAAATTTCAATAGATACCAGGAGTTAAGCGATGGCCCATTAATACAATATTACATTATTCTTTCATTCTTGTAATAAATCCAGTTTGGTCATGAGGTTTCCTTAAGAGATGGCTAGATTCTTGTTAACTTTTTATTTACAATTTTTTTGCATTTATTTTTAGAATTGTGTTTGGCCATATAATTTTCCTCCTGCATTTTTCCTTACATGATTTTGACTTCAAGTTTGTATTAATCTCATTTTGAAAAGTTGGCCTTTCAAAATAATGCCTCCTTTGGTATTTTGGTTACAGTTTGCTTAGGATTCTGATTATTTAATTTTTGAATTCTTAGGAGGCATTCTCTGAAAGGTATTTTGTTCTAATGTGTGTTATGTGTACATTTTAATTACTGATTAATTTTTTAATGGTTATGGGATATTTGGTTTTGAGGAAGACTTTGGAAAATTTTCTATTTTATCCACATTTCCATGAAATGCTCTTATATTTTTACTTGTATTCCATGTGTAGTTATGTTTTATTTAACTTTTGACTTGTGCTTTTTCTCTTTTTTGTTGATCAGTCTTTATCAGAAAACATATTTTAGCTTGGTTGGCTTCTTATTTTGAGAGACAGAAAATATAGCATAATAGTTAAATATATAGACCTTGGAGTCAGATGGTTTAACTCAAGAGGTGATTAAGAGAATTAAATATGATTCATTACACAAAATTATTTGAGTCCCCCAAAAAGTAATTTCTCAATACATTTTAGCAATTACTATAATTAAGTTCCTAATTTTCTATCATTTAACCCAGTTTATATTTTTGTAGCATTCATTGCTCTCTGACATTATCATTTTTATTCACTTTATTTATTTATTTAATTTTAAAATTGATTATAGATTTTTCTCTCCTCATTTTTTTCACAATGAAAGTGATTTTATTTTTTTCTGGTAGCCATTATATCCAAAGCTAGAATCATGCCTAATATGTAGTAGAAAGTCAAAAAATTAAATTAATTTTTTTAAGTAGATGATTTCCTAATGAAGTGCTGGATGCTATCAGAATGGTAAACTGGTGGTGGCGGGGGGGGGGAGTTTGATGTGGAAAAAACGTTGATAAATATTTGGAGTAAGGACCATTACAGAAATGAATGCAATTTTTAATGAATAGCTCTGCATACAAAAAATTCAAGGTGAAGAAATTACGTTTCTTCAGGGATTTGAATTGGGCATAAAAGAGAGGGAAAAATAAAGTTAACTACTTTATAGCTTTTTCTGTTTTTGACTTTTGTGCATTCAACCAAGAGGTGTTTTAGAAATATTTGTTGACATAACACTGTTGGTAGGGAGCAACATAAAGATATCCAAGTACTGTAGGATTGATTAGGAAGCTTTCATTTTCTTGATAAAAAGGCAAACTAATTTTTGTTAGTTGATTGTGTTATTCTAAAAGCCATAAAAGCAAATAAATATCTTTTCTTATTTTACAATATTTTAAAATATTTTTATTTTTACTTTAGGGACTCCACAACTTATTGTACCTAATCGTATGTATCAAAATATTTTAGTATTGATTAAATTATTTCCTCCAATGGAACATGAATTGAACTACTAACTATTCTCGTTTTGTTATTACTTTTGTTTTTGACAGAAAATCCATTTCTGAAGCCATTGGGGAAAGCACCTCAGCAGATAGACTTTAATCCGTTCAGCTTAGCTCTTCTTCTTCTGATAATCTTTTAACGTCATTTATGTACAAAAATATTCTCAAATATTAAAATAAAGGAATATTTAATTGCTTAATATAACTTATCCGTTTTATTTATTGACTCTTTCACACTCTTGCCTGATACCTAAATTTAATATTAGTTTTTAACTCAAAAAAATATATTGCAGTATGGAAAATGGATAAACAGTAGAATAAAGTCTTGAGGTTTTTTTTTTTTTAATTACAAAACCATATGTATATCAAGAGTGTTCCACTCTTTAATTTTCTAATGAGAATGGATTGTCACTTTAGTTATAGTACATTTAGGGAACAAAAGGTATTTCAGATATTAGATAGTTTCTTATAAACCAGTAGTTTCCTTTAAGAATACCATCAACATCATTCAGAAACACAATTTTACTGAGAAAAAATTTTTCTGATAGCATGTAATGTTATACATTATGTTCATAATCAATGGTTGGGGAATAAATCAATAAATTAAACTCAAAAGGAAAATCAACTAAATTTTGAACATTTAAAAGGTAAATATATGTTCTGCAAATTAAAGTCACACTCTTCTAGGAGATTTATTTTTAAATGTGTCCAATAGAAAATAACAGGATGTTAATAGTATATGTTTTAAAAGCCACACAAAATTAGTATAAGTAACAACATTTCTACAAACCAGAGAATTATTCAATTCTGGCATTTCTTTTGTCTGAAGACAAAAAATCATAAAATTTAAGAAATTCGGTTTTCAAAATTATCAATGCTGAATTGTTGACTCCTACAGAGTAAATTTTCTGGACCTTTTTCATCTCAACTAAGGCAACCTCCAGCTTCCTTCAGCTATTGCATTAGTCGGAGCTTTCTAAATAATTACTAGGATATATGCATATATAAAAAAGAATTTATTAAGGAGAATTGACTCACATGATCAAAAGGTGAAGTCCCATGATAGGCCATGTGTTAAGGTGAGGAGCAAGGAAGCTAGCAGTAGCTCAGTCCAAGCTCCAAAATCTCAAAAGTTGGGAAGCTGACAGTGCAGCCTTCAGAGTATGGCTGAAGGCCTGAGAGTCCCTGGTAAACTACTGGTGTGAATCCAAGCGTCCAAAAGACAAAATGCCTGTAGTCTGATGTTTGAGGGCAGGAAGTGTCCAGTGCAAGAGAAAGATGAAGGCTGGAAGACTCAGCAAGTCTGCTCTTTCATCTTCTCCTGCCTGCTTTATTCTAGCCATGCTGGCAGTCAATTGGATGTTGCCCACCTACATCAAGGGGGGGTCTGCTTTACCCCTAGTCCACTGACTCAAATGTTAATCTCCTTTGGCAACACTTTCACAGACACACCCAGGAACAATACTTTGCATCCTTCAATCCAATTAAGTTGACAATACTAACCATCACAAGTCTACCCCTTGTCAGCTTGAAAAATACACATCTCCTGAAATCATGTATCTCCAAATAAAGACAATAATAAGGTCATAATTATGTCTAACATAATACAGCTATCCTTCATACAACTGGAAGTGCTCTAATTCTTAGCCTAAATACTATTACATAAAGTTAACAACACTTAAATGCCTAAATGAAGTCACTAAATCTTATTTGACATGATAAAGGAAAAATAAAGGGAATAAAATGAAGATATTTTCTTAGTACAAGCATATACAAGCACAAACATATTCTTAACAAAATCTTAACAAAATAAGGAGAAAATATTCATGACAATTACAGTCCTAGTTTCTGCAACTGGTCGTGTGGTTGCATTGATGACTACGTTCTACTACTCATTCTGTATTCCGTTTGCCTGTATTCCCTTCACTGCAAGCATCTCAGTGGGTCATGAAACTTTTTCCTGGTGGAGTGACCCAAACCTTCATTCCTGAAGGGTCTGGGCCATTAGTAGTCCTGCCTGGACTGGGTTATTATAGTTTCCCATTGACCTTAATCACATAGCATGGCAAAACTTAAGAAATGCTCTATGGGGTCTCCTGTATTCCATACATAATCTTCCTTACCTCCATTGTGGAGTATTAGGCTGATTTTTTCTTTTTTCTTTTCTCTTTTTTTTTTTTTTTTTTTTTTTTGAGATGGAGTCTCTGTCACCCAGGCTGGAGTGCAGCGGTGCAATCTCGGCTTACTGCAACCTCCCAGGTTCAAGTGATTCTCCTGCCTCAGCCTCCTGGGTAGCTGGGATTACAGGCTCCCACCACTGCACCTAGCTAATTTCTGTATTTTTAGTAGGCATGGGATTTCACCATGTTGGCTAGGCTTCTCTTGAACTCCTGACCTCAGGTGATCCATCCCTCTCAGCCTCCCAAAGTGCTAAAATTATAGATGTGAGCCACCACACCCTGTCTGATTTCATCTTGATAGTTTAAGTCAATCACCCCAACCAACATTGTAACTCTTCTTAGCCTGTAGACTTAGAGGTAGGAGGAGCCCAAAGTGACCAGGTGGCAATCCTAATTTCCAGTTTAGTAGAATAATTCTTGTGTCTCCTGGTGGTAGCATTCCTCCCTCTGGAACTAAGACCTGTAGACCAGGTGAACATAATGTCATGGAACAGGAAGCAAAAAATTTTGTTAGTGGATCACTAGGGGTGATGATGAGTGGTGTCACTTCCACTTCCACCATTTGATTCCTGGACCCATGAATCCTGGCTATGGGAGAAACTGTGCCATATATTGGATGCTGATTCAGAGCATGTACAGCTTCTGAAGAACTTTGCCCCAGCCCTGTAAAGTATTGTCACCTAGTTGGTGTTGTCATTGTGATTTCAAAAGGCAATCCCACCAATGTATCAATCTAGCTCCTTCAGGATGATGGGGAATATGGTAAAACCAGTGAAATCCATGAGCATGAGCCCACTGTTGGACTTCTTTAGTCATAAAGTGAGCACCTTGTTCAGAGGCAGCGTCATGTGAAATACCATTATGGTGGATGAGACCACCTGCGAGTCCATAGATGGTAGTTTTGGCAGAAGCGTTTTGCATGCAGGATAGGCAAACCCATATCTAGAGTAAGTGTCTATTCCAATAAGGATAAATCACTTTCCTTTACATGATGGAAGAAGTCCAGTGTAATCAATCTGCCACCAAATTGCTGTCTGATCATCCTGAGGAATGGTGCCATATCAAGGGCTCAGTGTTGGTCTCTGCTGCTGGCACATTAGGCATTCAGCAGTGGCTGTAGCCAGGTCAGCCTTGGTGACTGGAGGTCCATGTTGCTGAGCCCACGCATAACCTCCATCCCTGCCAACATGGCCACTTTGTTCATGAGCCCATTGGATGATGACAGGTGGATGGGGAAGAAGGCTGAGAGGTGTTCACAGAATGAGTCATACTATTCACTTATTATTAAAATCCTCCTCTGCTGAGGTCACCCTTTGATGAGCATTCACATGAGATACAAATATCTTCACACTTTTTGACCAATCAGAAAGGTCCAAACACATACCTCTTCTCTAAATTTCTTTGTCCTCAATTTTCCAATCATGCTTCTTCCAAGCCTCTAACCATCCAGCCAAACCATTGGCTGCAGCCCACGAACAAGTATGTTATCACACATCAGGCCATTTCTCCTTCCAAGCAAAGCATTGTACAGCCAGGTGCACTGCTTGAAGTTCTGCCCACTGAGGAGATTTCCCTTCACAGGTGTCCTTCAGGGATATCTAAAGTGATGAATTCTAGCATTTCAATCTCCCTAAGCCTTTGGATCCCTTCCTCTACATTAAACCAAGGGAGATCAGGCATTTCCAGCTAACTCATAGTGGGCCAATTTCTAATCCATGTTTCAGCTAACCAAGCAAATAAACTATTAGAACCTTTTTTTAACTCCCCAAGCTGCAACATTAAATGAAGAATCCCTGTTTAGTGGGCCCATATCAATAAATTCAGCCTGACCCAACTTTAGGTTTCTTCCATTATCCCACACCCTTAGCATCCATTCCCATACCAATTCTCCATATTTCTGTTTATATAAATTAGAAAACTCTAGCAGTTCTTTTGGGATGTAGTGCACCTTCTCACGGGTCACACTCTGAAGCCCACCTCTGGGACCTGAGTCTAATTATAGGTGTAGAAGCAAACAGGCATGTTGGGGATGTGTCCTAAAGAGAATCAACATTGTCTTGCCTGGCAACTGCCTCAGGCAGTGCAGGGTTAATCTCCTGAAAGGTGGAAAGGCTGATGGCATTATGGGTGGGAGAGGGGATATTGCCGCCATCAAGAATAGAAAGACTATTTCCTCTGGTAAAAAAAAAAAAAAAAAAAAAAAAAGGCTCATCAGAATTTAGGGGCTCAGTCCCTCCAGGCTCATCCCCCATCAAGGTCTTCCCACACATTCCCATTCCAAGTTGCAGGGTCCCATTCTTTTCCAACCAATGTCCTTACTTTAACAGTAGACACCTGGTGAGGTTGAGTGTGCACCTTTCATTGCAGGTCAGTCACGTAAGAGCTTGTATCTGATTTTCCACAATTTCAGCCCTTTGTCCTCAAGAGACAAGACTCTCAGGGCAATCTTGGAATATCTGAGGCTCAGTTGAGCTTCTAAGCTCATTATTTTCTTTCATCACTTTGTCCAGAAAATTTAGAAGCAACCAACCAACTTTATTATATTCCTTGATTCTCCACATACAGTCAAAGGTATTATGTGTAGAGTCACTAAACTCCTTGTTTCTTAAGAGCATTGAATCAGGAGTATCAAATGAATTTATTTTGCATAATTCTCTAAATAGTTCATGCCAAGAACTATCAGTGTTCTCCATAGTACTAGAAGTAGAGTCCTTAGCATTTTGGGGTCTAAGATTAAGCAGCCAACTCCAGAAACCCAGAAACCAACTAAAGAAATCCAGCTTTAAGATTCTGTTCCTCTAGAACCACTCCTGGTACCAAAATCTGTATTAGGTAGTGTTCTCTAAAGGGACAGAACTGCTAGGATACATGCATATATGAAAGGGGTTTATTAAGGAGGATTGACTTACACGATCACAAGGTAAAGTTCCACAGTAGGCTATCTGAAAGTTGAAGAGCAAGGAAGCCAGCAGTGGCTCAGCCCAAGTCCCAAAACCTCAAAAGTCAGAAACCCTACAATGCAGCCATCAGTCTGTAACCAAAGGCCTGAGAGCTCCTGGTAAACCACTGGTGTAAATCCAGGAGTCGAAAAGCCGAAGAGCCTGGAATCTGATATTTGAGGGCAAGAAGCAACTAGCACAGGAGAAAGATCAAGGGTGGAAGACTCAGCAAGTC